CAACTTCTCCCACCCCCAGGTCCCACTCTCCTTCCCCTGGAGCCTCAGCTCTAGCCACAGTAGTCCTCAGAGTTCCCAGGCATGCTCCTGCCTCAGACACCTGCCCTTTCCTCTGACTGGAACTTTCTACCTTTAGCTATCCCACAGGTCCTTCAGCTCTTAATTCCAATGACAGCTTCTCAGCAAGGCCTTTCCTGGCTACCCTACCTCAATCTGCTACCACCCCCAACCCCACAAATGCTCTCCCTAACTCATTCTCTCCCTAATGTGCACATCACAAAACACACTGTCTACTTCATTTCTTTTTTCTTTTATCTCTTGGCTCCTAAAACCAGAAGGGAAGTCCAGGAGAGCAAGCATCCTCTCCTGCTGGTTCAAGGAGATATCCCCATGCTTAGAATCCAGGAGGCGTTCAAGAGATATTTTCAAGTATATTTGAGGCTCAATTTATATCATGCCTCCAAACAAGAAGTCCAAACTGATAGCAAATAATGCTACTGGGTTACCTTAGGATAGAAATCTAAGGTTCCTGGCCCTATTTTTCTCTTAGTAATATTCTTTCAAATGCTTCTCACAGACACTAAAATTCTGAGTAATCTCAGAATAAATACCATTAAATCAACCAGCCAAATATGAACCACCTCAAGAAGCTTTGCATTCGTTCCCCCTCCTACTTACACACACACCCCATAAAAGAGAAATGAGTCTGTTTCCCATCTGGGCTTTCAGACAAATCAATCACCTGTGTGTTCAACAGGTGTATTTATTGACCAATTTCAGAATAAGCACTTTAGGAATGAGGCAGGTGGGGAAAGACAGTGTTTGCCCCATAGAAAAGTCAGCTTATTCTCTTCCTGAATAAGCCAGCAGGCCCTTCTCTAATGAAAAATAGAACCCACTGCCACTAACACTACACCAGATAAGGCAGCTGATATGGGGCTGTTTCAATACACTACCTGCACAGTCCTAAAAATGCATCTCCAAACAGAAACAGCCGCACCTAGCCACACAAGAGAAGCCCCTGAGGAGCAACTGCGAGCACCTTCCGGACACAGGTGAACCCCAATATTTTAGGGTTGTCAAGGCACTTGAAAATCACCTAGTCTTCCCTTCCCCTTCCCTTTAATTTTAAAGATGAAGAAGCCGAGACAAGGTACTGTGGGCAGATGGTCAATCAGGCCACACAACCCCTGAGTGGCAAAGCCAGACCCAGGACCCAAGCTCAGATCTTCCACAACCAACCACCTACCGACAATAGTGAGTTCAACTTCAAATGGTCAGTCTATATGAAAAACATGTACTCATACCCTGCAGAGATGTGGGTATATTTTCTAGAACATGCTATTTTCCATACTCTAGGGGAAATGAGATATGTTGGGAAAGTCATTCTGTCTGTACCAGGTATTGAGGCCTTATCTAGTCACATGCATTTCATAGCCTGGGAATTGAAGAAGTGACTTTCATGAGTCTGGGCTACTTCACAGGTACCATACCAAAGCTTTCTTCCAATCCATACACTTCTCCAAATGGCATACATTAGGTTTCTGTTCTAACAGAAGTCACTGAATGCTATCTACAGCAGAGATGGCCCAAACAGGCTCAGCAAATGCGCCAACAGAAATGTTTACCATTCCTAATTTGCTGTTACACAACATTTATTTGCTCTCACCGTGTGCCAAGGATCTGAAAACATGTTGTTGATTAATAAACAGTAATTAAGTCTCACCACCTAATTCAGAGCTCTGGTTAGGTTCTGGGATTCCCTTTTAAAGAAGGCCAAAGTGAAGGCCATGAGTTGAAAGGTTTTTTCCAAAGGCCTGACTCAGAGATGCATCAGCCGGCTCAGGCCCAGGCCACAAAGCCTGTTCCTTTCCCCTGTTATGCTCTTTGCTTCCTCAAGGTCTTTTCCACCCTCCTGGGCCAATCCTCACTTCCATTTCGGCCCCACTCTCCAGCAGCATCCCTCTAACCACACTGACCAAATGGCTTGACCCTTAGCTTCCAACAGTAAATGTTCTGCAAGGAAAGATACCTGGATGCAGCAGCCAAATATCAGATTACACAGGCTGGCAAGGTGAGCGCTCCTCGGGTTTTACAGTGCTTTATTTCAAAAGCGGTTTAACACTGTAAGCTGACAGCCTTGCTTCTTGGGGCTTTCCTGCCTTAGGATCTTACAGACATATGGTGAAGGTGTGACAAACAATGTGATTGGAACTGCAGAGGTCTTTGGGAAATGGACTCCAATTACAATTGTTGATGCCTTTGACTCATGCCAGACTTCATTACAAATAGGATAAAAGACCAAACTCAAAACTCACTCAATGGGCTTGGATTGTAGCTCAGTGGTAGAGTGCTTACCTAGCAAGGGTGAGACGCTGGGTTCAACCCTCAGCACCACATATAAATAAATAAAATAAAAATATTGTATCCACTAGGAAAAAAAAAAAAACACTCCAAAGGCATAGGAAGTGACCTTCATTTTAAGACTCAGGCCCAGGTCCCTAGACTTGACCCAGGTGAAATGGACATACTGAACTTGGGATCACTTCCAACAAATCCAAGGAGACAAAATGATGCTGATAATCTAAAAGCTTTGAAATTCTTACATATTTAGATAACAGGTTGTCCCTTAAGTTTTACTTGCATTAATATTATAGTTATTTCTCAAATACTAAAGTTAAGTCATTTTTTTTTCCTATATTAGGAATCAACCCAGGACTTCATACATGGGCTCTACCACTCACCCACATTCCCAGCCCAAGTCAAATTATTATTAAACATCTGCTAAAAGTGATTCAACTCCATATGGGTAATCAAGAGTTGCTCTGCCTAGCCCTGAATATCAGTTCCACCACCTAATAGCTAACTCATATTTGCCAGGTCACTTAATCTCTCTGATGTCTCAGTTTTCTCAAACACAAATTGGGGATAATAGTAAATACCTACATTGTAAGGTCACTGTGAGATTTAAATGAGTTAATACACACAAGGCATTTAGAATAAATGCCTGGTACTTGGTATCTTGTTGCCCATGGTTACCATTACTATTATGTCATTGAGTAAAAAACATCTTGAACATTTTATTTCATTCTTCTAGGACCCCTRCCAGCACTACAGTGGGAAGTTTCTTTGCCAAGAATTATTTCCAAGGCAGAAGGTGACACTTTGGGGGGCCTAGAAGAAATCCATATCCAAAACTTACCAGAATGGGGTCAGAGTCCAGGAAGCTGTTTGGCCAGAGCTAAGTCCAGCACCAGAAGGCAACCACCCCTCCTTCCCAGAGGCAGAAGCCACCCGCAGTCATCCTCAAACAGCAGGCTACAGCAGGAGCCACTCAAGGGAGCCACAGCTCACTGAGCTTCAGCAGCCTGGCCACTGATCTGCCTGCCAGGAGACTGCAGGCAAAGGGGCCCAGGTGGGTAAAAGCCATTAAAGAGACACATTCACACATGATAGGACTCCACTCTCTCCAGTCCCCTCATCTTGATGTCACATAGTGAGTCTCTGGATAGCAAGCAAAAAGCACAATTCTAATTTCACAGTGACTAGAGTTTCCCAGAGTCACAACCCCAAATGTGAATAAACCTTAATTAACCCCTTATCTTGGAAACCCCTCTTTATTAAAAACCTAAGCACTTTCTGATTTCATTTAGACAAAGACGGCAAGTCAGTGCCCACAGGTGCCCTCCCAAAATGCAGCAGCCACAGCACCTAGACTCTGTTCCAGTCCTTGGCACACTGGCTTCCCCAGGAATCTGAAACCTGGTTGGGAATGCCGCCTTCACAACTTCTCTCTGGGGGATCCACTGCAGATGTGGGGGTGGGGTGAGGATGACTAACAACTGCAGTGGACCCTGAGCTCAGGCAGAAGATAATGTGGGTATGAAAACAGGGTCTGGAAAGGCAAGCCAAACACAGAAACAGTAAGGGGTGGGGGGTTGAGGGGARGCGGGGGAAGGAAGAACAGAAAAGAAGAGTACCACCCGGCAACACTGATTTATCCATGAAACACCTCTTTCCTGATTAAATCAACACTTCCCGACCCCCTACACAATGTTCATTTCTTACAGCACGTGTATGAATATATATGCACTGACAGACACGGATGACAGCAGAAACGGAGCACATGGGGGTTGGGGGGACAACTTGAACTTCAGGCTCATTCAGCAGTGTCTGATTCTCTTTCACTGTCAGCCCCTCTACGTAGAATCTGAAGCGCTCCAAAACAAAACAAAAACCAACTCATGGGCAGGAAAGGAACCAAGGCTGAACGGAGCAGCAGCACATGCTTGGAGCACTGATAACCATCGACTTCTGATCATTTCTGCTTTCTTGAGATGCAGCCACCAGCATCGGACTAAATGTAGTGCAGGAGAGAATCGCCCGGTACAGAGACACTCGCAGACCCTCCCATGGGGACACGCACCCCAGCGCGAGAGGCTGAGCCCGTGTGAAAGGTACAATCACTCAGGTGAGGCTCTGCCCACATGTGACCCTGAACACTGCGAAATTCTTCCACAATCGCGAGGCCATCCAAAGTCTTGCCTACACCTAGTACGTGCAGATGTTAATTTCATGTGAATACATGATGTAAGGACAGAAATGGGAATTTTCTCGTGGCCACGACTCTCTCCATACACATGGTGAGTAAATGCACACAGCCAGTAAACAGCGATATCCACCATGCTCAGCCCACAGTCACGCGTGGGGAGAAAGCGGTGGCGAGGGCGGCGGTGGCAGAGGAAGTGGAAAGTCGCCCGCTCGCGTGGGCTGTCCTCCGAGAGCCCGAGCTCCCCCTCCCCCGCACAGGAGCTGTGCCACCTCTGGGGCGCAGACCCACGACGCGGAGGTCGCTCTGGGGGCTCCGCAGAGAACCGGACAATGAGGATGCCGTGACAAGCCGGGATCCTGCCGCGGTGGCGGTGGTGATGGCAGCCGGAGCTGCTTGTGCAGCCGACACCGCGGCCACCTCCACCCTCTTCTCCCCAGCGTCCACTTACGTCCCGAGGGTCTCCTTGAACTCGAAGATCTTCTTAATGTCTTCGGCTTGCTTTTTCCAGGATGAGCTGCTCTCGCCGTTCTCCCGGGCCATGGCAGACGAGCGCGGCGCGGCGCGGCGCGGTGGGGCGGCCGGGGGCGCGCTGGGGAGGGGGCGCCGGGGGCGCGGCGCGGGCGCAGGGGCGCGCGGGGATGCCGGGCGCTAGGCGGGAGGCTCGGGGCCGCCGCAGAGCTTCCTCTTCTGCAGTTTCCTCTTTCGCTCTCGCCGCCGCCGCTGTCGCGGTCCCTCCCTGGCTCTTATTTCTGCTCGTTTCGGTCAGAGACTTCCTGCCGCCGCTGCTCGCCCGCTCCTTTGCCGCCGCCTGCCAGCCTCACTTTCTGCTACTTTCTTGCCTCCCTCCTGCTCCCTCCCCGCCTCCCGCCCCGCTTCCCCCCCCCCGCCTCCTCCCGCGGGCTCCCCGCCCTCCCCGCGCGCCCCGGCCGCCTCCCCGCCTCCCGCGCTACCGCCTTCGGGGATGTCCCGCTCCCCTCCCSGGGAGCGCCGTGCACTGGGCGCGGGGGCGCCGCACTTGGCAGCCAGGCCACACTCCCCCGCGGTCAAGCGCCCTGGAGCCGAGCAAGGGCAGGTGCGGGGACCCTGGCAGGTGCAAGGCGCTGGGGCGCTCGCGGGAGAGCCCTACTCCTGGAGGAGCTTTATTGTGGAGTCAAGACTGGGGGCACCCGGGCTTTCCCTCCTCCAGCGGGAGGGGGCGCCTTTGCGTGGCGCTCGGAAGCGCCGGGAGAGATGGGGGTGCGCAGCGGCCGGATACCGGGCTCCCAGGGCGGGGCGCCTTTTCCCCGCGCCCGGGACCAGCGGCCGGAGTCGGCCAAGCCCGCTGACAGGCGGGTGGGCGGGGGCCGGTTGTTATGGCGACGGGCGGCGGCTGTGGGGATGGAGGCGTTGATGGGCGTGGACTCCGGCCCCGCGGCGCGGGCCAGCGCGGGCTCTCCCAGAGCTTGTCACTCCCCTCCCGACTTGCCGGCTAGAGCTAATTCGCATTGCACCAAATTCAGCCTCACGTCAATTTCGGTATCGCGGAGGAGAAAGCCTGGGAGTCTCGGGAACGGGCACGCGCAGGACGCGCCTGCCACTGCCTCGCAATCCCTTTGGAAGCAAAACTCCTGGGTTTATTTGGTGGCCGTGCCGCGGGTGGATGCGGGACAGCGCGGGCTGTCCTGGCCCGGGCCTGGAACAGCGAGCCTAGCTCATGGTTGTACTCTACTGGTTTCTCCCACTCGCCTCACGACACTCTGCGGACTCAGCACGAAGTGAATGTCTGCCCCACACCCTCCATGAAGGAGGTCTGCCCCTACTTACCACCCCCACCGYGACCCCCGCAGCGGGTTTATGGGGAGACCAGATGGCGGGCACGTACTTCGAAACATCCTTTCCTTCAGGTTGGAGAAAGTAACCCAAAGAATTGCCTCCTGCCTCCCATCTCCCAGGTGAACTTTGGCCTGCCCACCCACTCCCGCTGTCTACCTGTCAGAGGGCAGCCCACGTGCTGGTTCCCTAGATCCCTGGCCCTCAATCAGCAAGGGACTACCTTTTGATGGGAAATTTTTAGTTTTAGTATCAAGACTTCCCATCCCTTAGGGCCCCTGTGCTGAGTTAGGTAAACAGCCGCTGTCTCTTGATTGGGGACACCTGTCCCATTTTCCCAGGACTGTTCCAATTTCCAATTTCACTGTAAAGGTGAAAAGAAAATCTGCTTTTGGAAAATGAAACTTAATCCAGCAATTTCTGCTTGGTTCTGACTGTGGACTGACTTCAAATCCTTTGTTGATCCCAAGGAGGTCAGAAGCCAGCTGGACCTCCCTTCCCTGACACTTCTGGTTTTAACCTAAGGCTCTCCAAACTGAGGAAAGCTAAGAGGGATTACAGCCACACATGGCTTTAGGACTGGATATGTACTGAGAAATGCATAGTTAAGTGAGGTGTGAACACTACAGATTGTAGTTACACAAACCTAGATGCTGTAGCCTACTATACACCTAGGCTATATGGTATATATTTGCCTAGGGGCAGAATGAACAAAACAAGATTAAATCACACACGGGAGAAAATGATGCAGCTAAAGASGTGGCAAATATGAGATATCCAAGGCTGCTGCCAGCATAATACAGCAACCTATTTTATAGTAAACTTTTGTTTTATAAATAGGAGTACATTCTCAAGTAATGATTAAAAGTTCAGTATAGTAATACATAAACAGTAACTTTTTCATTATCAAGTACTCTACATAAATGTATTGCAATAWTTTTGAAAGACCGGCAGCACAGTAGGTTTGTTTACACTATCATCCCCACAAACACGTGAGTAATAGGTTGTGCTATGATGTTATGATGGCAATGAGGTCACTAGGCAACAGAAATTTCTCAGCTCCATTATAATCTTATGGGACCACCCTCAGAATGTAGTTATGCATGCATGACAGTACCTGCCCTAGAACCACAAATAAAACTCCAAACTCAATTTCCAGGAGGGATAATGAGAACTACTAAGAAACTTCTCACAGATGGGGCACATCACCGAAGTCCAGGCAAACAGCATTCCCTTCAATACTACACAGTAATAACTTTTATTTAGGACTGGATATGTACTGAGAAATGCATAGTTAAGTGAGGTGTGAACACCACGGAGTATAGTTACACAAACCTAGAAGCTATAGCCTACTACATACCTAGGCTATGTAATGTCAAAGGTGGGATTCAGAGCCTAAGTCAAATAAGGTCCCAATAGACACTTTTCCATGTCTCTCAGTCACCATCTTGTCTTTTATTTCTCCTTCCCATCCTCTCACTCTATTTCCTTCCCCTCCTTTCTCTCCTATTTTGCCCTTGCCCCTTGCCTAAGGAACAACCTCCAGAGCTCAAAAAATTATTTCTCTACAGAGACAGCAAAGGTAAAGAGAAAGGAAAATGAAGTTTGACATTTCACATGTCTCTACAGCATGACTTTTCCTACAAGGTTGTAAGCTCCATGAAGGCAAAGAACATGTTACTCATGGCACAGAACCCAGGGCCTCGCAGTAGGCAAGAGCTCTATGGCTGAGCCACAACCCCAGCCCCACCCCTACCCTGGGCTTGCCTTCTTTTCCCAGTCTCCTCAATGATGTTCACCCAGTATTGGCAAGCTAGTCTCACTGGGACCAACTTCCTGAGAAAAACACAAACTTTTAATAGAGAGTTGGAGAAGTTAGACCCAGAAGAATGGATCCCCAGGGCCCAAAAAAGAAAGTGGAAATGTCAAAGACAAGTCCAGTCTGACTTGATTATATTCATTTCCCCCTTATCAGAAACCAAGCAAATAGAAGCTCTTAATCCTGAAAATTGCAATAAAAAAATCAAAACCCCGAGGCTGGGGATGTGGCTCAAGCGCGCTCGCCTGGCAGGCGTGCAGCCCGGGGTTTGATCCTCAGCACCACATACAAACAAAGATGTTGTATCCTCCGAAAACTAAAAAATAAATATTAAAAATTCTCTCTCTCTCTCTCTCTCTCTCTCTCTCTCTCAAAAAAAAAAAAAAAATCAAAACCCTGGGGCTGGGGTTGTAGCTCAGTGCTAGAGCGCTTACCTGGCATGTGCAAGGCCGTGGGTTCGATCCTCAGGACCACATATAAATAAAGGTATTGTGTGCAACTACAACTAAAAATAAATAAATATTTTTAAAATATTTTTAAAAAATCAAAACCCTGCATTCCCCTAGGAAAGGTTAAGCCTTAACCTTGTGCACTTCCCATTTTTGTTTTATGGCCATTGTTTCAACTGCCCTCCAGGGTAACTGGTGGTTCTCTCCAGCTTGAAGGAACAAATGATAACTGGGTCTCTTTCTGTGCTCCACCTTCAACTCTGTTGCCAATAAATTATTACTTGTCAGTCAAAGGTTGTCTCTTCCCCAACAATTTCAACTCCAAAAATCTCTGCCGGGTATTTTGGATTACTAAGGTTTAGGTACTACTAGGGTTTGGGTGTTAAAGATCCATGTGGTAAAGGACCTGTCGTCCCTAGAGTGGCACTTTGGGGAGATGGTAGAAACTTTTAAGGGGTGGGGCCTAGTGAGAAGTCTTCAGGCCACTGGGAACATGCTCTTGAAGGGAGCTGTGAGACCTTGTCTCTTCCTCTTCCTCTTTTTCACTACCCACCATGAGGTGAACGGTTTGGCTCCCCCACATGATTCTGAAATGATGTGCCACCTCCCCACAGGGCCAGAGCACTGGGGCCACTTGACCATAGACTGAAACCTCAAATAAACCTTTTCTAAGTCAATCATCTCAAGTACCTGTGGTTTTGTTTTGTTGGTTTTTKGGGGTTGTTTTGGTTTGATTTTGCATTTTGGGTGCTGAGGATTGAACCCAGTGTCTCTCACATCTCATGTGCTAAGCATGTGCCTTACCTCTGAGCTACACCCCCAGCCCTTCAGGGATTTGCTTTAGTGACGGAAAGCTGACTAACACAAGTTCAAAGTCTTTATATTTCCTTAAAGCCCTTAAACTCTTTTTTAAAGAGCTGAAAGAAGAGGCACTTTTAATAACCCATCATTAAAGAGTTACTAATTTTATGCCCATCAAACTCTTCTCTAATCAACCCTTCTACCAATACGTCATGTTTACATGGCCCAGGTTCAGTACTGGGCAAATGGTGTACTAGAAATAAATACTATGTAAAGAAAATGCAAACAGGTTAAATTTGAAATCTCTAAATTACCACTCGMAGTCTATCATACATAAAGTGATAATCCAAGAAGGCAAGCTGAGTGGCAGAAAGAACAAGAAGTCCAGAAATGAGCTTGAGGCCCAGTTCTGCCATTATTTTTGTATGTAAGGCATCCTGTGTATCTGAGTGTATATAATTCAGTTTGTAAAAGGTGGAATAGTAGGTGGACTAGATGATCTTTAGGACTCCCAAATCAGTGGGTTTTTTTTTTCATATGATACAAAGCTGATCCAGAACATTATTCCTTTGTCTCTGAAAATGTAAGAATTCATTTACCCAAAATGGTACTAAATGAAATTGCTTATTGTGCTGGGCATGTAGCTGAGTTTTGGAGCACTAACATGTGTGAGGCCCTTGGGTTCCATGCCCACCACCACACAAACACACAAAAAAAGTAAAATTTATATTTTGTAAAATAATGTATATTTTTAAAAAATAATTAAACATATGTATRTTTTCATATATATGTATATATAAAAATTAGCCATGACTTACACCTAACATGAATAAGTTGTTTAAATTTCAACATGGAATATTGCAATAAAAAAGACTTCCTTATTTGCAAGGAAAAACACTTCCTCATGAAATGT